TATAAATAGAGTTTATTTGTGGCCAACGTAAAATATCAGTAGTCTGTCATACATTGAACTCTTGACGTCAGGACTCATATCATACGTCATTTTTGCTACGGAAATAGTTTAACTTTTAATTTTAAAGGTTTTTCTATAAATAGCCATTAGGCGCCACCTGGTGATAATCTCTGTAAATGTTTGTCTGATGACCGACAGTCCAAATAAAGGCGAGCAACTCATCTAGTCTATTCTTCATTTCTTACCGCCCTTTCTGTTTCTGGTGACGTTATGACGTCGATGGCTTTATCTGTTCCCCCCCCCCCCCCCCCCCAATACAACGAGAGTGGGTGTAATTTCTAGTGACTCAATCAAGGGAGGATCATGCACTAAACAGAAAGAAGTTAACACCAACCCTCCATCCCAAAAACGTATCTTTAAGTTTATAAGTAAATAATCTTATCTACGATTATTTATGAAATGAAAGCTGTAAGGGATTCCTATGTAATGACGACAGAGACTATGCGTTATGCCATCCGAAAACCTTCCGTCAGACTAATTGAAACCAACCAAAAAGTTACTCTCTAAATGACAAAAGCTGTTTATGATTTAAAAACAACAACAACAGAACAACAAAATCACATCTCTAGAGATGCTGTTCTTTGCTAAGGGGGCTCACTTTGACACTATGAATATGGGTTTTATTTTAAAAACTAGTGCTTTACCTTATGAAATAAGAATACATGTTTAACTTTTTGCCTTTACCTATCCCTTAGTCTGTTGAACCGTTGGGGCACCAAGCAAGATTTGTCGACCGTCTTTTTCCATTCCTCTCTGTCTTTTGTCTTCTTTAAAACCTCTTTCAATGGCAGGCCCGTCCATTCTTTTATGTTGTCCTATAAATATATAGTGCTTTTTTTGTGACAGTACGCACCACCGGTACGCGTACCGGCACCTTTTTCAATGTGGGGAAAAAAATATTACTTTTCTTGTATTTTAAAGTTTATTGTTAATATATTAGTAGTTAAAAGTTAGGCAATTCATCACTGAGTACCGGCGCTTATTTTTTTTTTTTTACAAAAAAAGCACTATATATATATATATATATTGTGGGATCTAAGGATATGAGAAGCGGAAGTATATATATATACCGGTATATATAACTATTTCTGATAAATAATCTATACAGCTTACAGTGAAAATATCTACTACCACTAGATAAAGGCCACAAAACCTAGTTTGTTGGCGATAGACCTAAATCTTTACGCAATGTATCTCAGAGGACTTGTTCTCAGTAGTAGTGTAGTCTGAGCGGAGGTTGGGAAACATGATACATGTACCGGTACTGAGTACATTATTTTGAAACTAGATGCTGTGTTTTTCTTCGTAAACATATTTTAAACTCGTAATAAGCTCCATGCCCGCCATGCATTGAGTTCTCTGTCTTGTAATTAACGATCTGAGAATCGCCAATACATTTAATAATAAAATATAATCATCAATAAACACAACCAGATAAACAAAGTTCTCTTACGGTATATACAAATTAAAAGTACGATTATTGTTTTCATTATAGGCTTCTTTGTATCCTACTGCCCATTTCTGTCCTACGAATTCAAGTCCACTAACGTCTCTGATACTCTCTCTCACTCTCTTCTCTCTTTTTTTCTCACTCAACTTTCTCTCACTATCAACCGAGAAGATGATGTTTGGGAATCGGTTTAGAGATTTTAATAGCTTAACTTAATTGGCACATTTATGTGCGCTCGTTTAAGTCCACAATGTCAGCATGACCTCCACGCAAACCAATGTGCTTTGTTTTAACACAGTTCTTATATTTTGACCTACCGTCTATCGTGACCCACTTGCACACACACACAGATGCAGACCATACTGAGATAAGCTTTATCTCGCTTATCTGACGCACTGGCTATCACGTTTATCACCTGTCTGCTATATTGTCTGTCCTTGACGCCTCAATAAAAATTGAAACTTATCAAACAACCTTTGAATAGCCTTAGTTTAGTTCAAAGGCTGGTCTGTAAAGAGATAGTTCAGTCAAGAGACTAGTCTGAAAAAATAAGTTCAGTCAAGATATTGGTCTGCAAAGAGATGGCTCATGCGAGAGATTGTTCTGTATATAGTTCGGTCAAGAGACTTTTCCGAAATGAGATAGTTCAGTCAAGAGGCTGGTCTGCAAAGAAATAATCCAGTCAATAGGCTGGCCTGCAAAGAGATATCTCATTCAAGACACTGGTCTGCAAAGAAATAGTTCAGTTAAGAGACTTCTCTGTAAAGACATAGTTCAGCCAAGAGACTGATCTACAAAGAGATAGTTCAGTCAAGAGACTGATCTACAAAGACATAGTTCAGTCAAGAGACTGATCTACAAAGAGATAGTTCAGTCAAGAGACTGATTTACATAGAGATAGTTCAGTCAAGAGACTGATTTACAAAGAGATAGCTCAATCAAGAGTCATATTTTGTTCTTCAAAGGATCACGCCAGCTTCACAAGAAGAGTTTATTTACAGCCTTTCAAGACTATAACACGCAGCTACACTCTAAACTCTAAAGGGTAAGATCTAAACGCTTTCAAGATGGCATTTAGACATGCGAACGTAAATAGGACACCAATAAGTAGGTCAAGTTTCTAAGTTAATTTGTGTCGTCTGTCCGTCTGTTATCTGTTAACTCTACAGCTACAACCTCAAGTTGGCTTTCGTCAGTCTGAGTTTCATACTGTTTTTTTTTTTTTTTTTTAAGAATTGACAGCTTCTACTGTCACATTGTCGTTGTAAGCTGGTCGGAGGGGGGGGGGGGAGAGGAGAGGGTCGGTATCATTTCTCCTCAACAAAAGTGCACTATTCCACCCCCCACTATTTTCCCCCTCTTTCTGTATTTTTTCTATATCTATAATCTTTTCACCGTCGGAGGGAGGTCCTGGCTCAGGGAGAAAGAAGTACATTCCAATGGTATTAAAATGGGGACAAGTGTTTTTACGAAATATAGTGATTCCCAAACTACGACCCGTGGGACATCTCGGGCCCGTGACTCTGTGCTTCCCGTCCTCATAGCCACCTCTTAACTGTTATGAAATGTAATAAAAGACAAAGAAAAGTAACGTACCCCTTTCAGACCTTGAGATCTATGGGGCAGATGATGTAAAGGTCATCTGTTTTTGTGACCCACGGTTAACGAGGGTGACATGCGGTCAGCATAACGACCAATCGAGTTTAGTTTTTCCACTACTAATGTCAGGTAACCATCCCGAAATTAAAAATCCCTGTCATCACCAGGATTTGAACCCGTTTTACCGCTCAGCCACCGCCCCTCCTGTTGCCAAAAGCGCTTAATGTAATCGTAGAGAATCTTGTTCGATTGGAGGACAATTTTTTTTTCGGGGATGACGCCCCTAACACATGTGTCGGGAAAAAAAATTGGACACCACTGGAAAAAACAACCAAACAATGAAAAATAATGACACAGATGTAAATTTCACAGATTGAACAGTTATTCGACCACCTGCACTGTCCACATTTCCTTTTCTGTTAGTTTTTTCAACATTGTATAGTCTAAGTCTATTTTCATTTGGCTATCTAATCGTTGACAGTGCATCTCGCCCTTGATTGCGTTGAGTTCCTAGGAATCTAAATCTAAAACAAACTAGAACATAAAAAAATAAGAGAATAAAACGCAACAATAAAATATTACGAACTAGATTGAGGGGCCATATTAACACTAAACGCGGGTGGCTGCCTGGTCGTGAGGTATGCGCGCTAAACTGTCGTTCGGATTTGTCGATGGTCCCGGGTTCATGTCCTGTCCGCTGCCATCCCCCGTCGTCCTGCGGAAGGTTTGGACTAGGAAGTAAATGATCTTCAACTCTGAGGAAACATCCGAAACATGAAATATATTTTTTTTTTTTTACAAACACTTGTTTTTGAAATAGCCACCCTATAGGTCACCTCGACTGACCTCCATGGCGTAAGGGAGCCTACAGAGATTGATCTGTATGGTCCAATATATTTGGCCTGAAATGACCGCTGCTTATTCTACCCTTAAGTCAAGGAAGTTGGCCTTGATTCGGCGCATTGACCTGACTTTAAGGTCAAGCTTTGTTTCTTCTGTATGGAAAATACCAGGTACACGTAGACAACATTAAATTAAACTATTTTCTGTGGCATACGAGAAGGCTAGATATTGTTTATCAACATTTAGAATGCTGTCTTAAAGTCAAGCATTTACAAATACATTTAGGCTGCATTAAAAATAAATGTTTCATAAACAGACTATGGCCCTGGACAGAAGGTTTTAATTTCCCCAAAAATGTTTACATTTGTTGGAATGGTAACAGAAGACGTCAACACTAGATATAGAGATCTACAGAGACTAAAATTAGGTTATATGGCGTACTATTTTAGTTGTATTGTAGCTACTAAGGAAATGTCAGCGCAATGTCGCATGTAACTTATATTTGGCACCTTTACACCGCAAGTTAACAATAAACTGGTTTGTTCAACAAAGGAAAAGCCGGTTTCTTTTTTAGTGTGTGAATCACTGACAGGAATCGTACCCTCTTGTCAGCTGTTCGCTGCATGGCCTGGCCTAATTTTACCTAAGCTCGAAAGGATATTTAGTTTCTAAAAAAATATATATACTATTTTAGTCAAAATTGTTTAAACATATATACACAAGCAGAAATAATAAAATAAATAATAAATAAATCAATAAAAATAAAATATAGGAATGTAATACATTAAAAAGCAATATTTTACTATTTTATTTTGTTTTTAAATTAAAAATAAAAATAGGTTTATAGAGAAATGCTTGTCAGAAAATAGTTCATCCTTTCGATTTCTTCAAGGTCTTGTTTTCGTCCTACAGCTGGGGCTAGCACGTGAACAGTGGCTGATTCCAGAGCTACATAAAAGTAGCTGAGATAACCGATATTGTTTAGACACGAGCTTACAACGAAGTAGTTAAGACGCTTAAAATTATCGAGACTATTCTACAGTGCTTTCTTACTTGGATTAATTTGGCAAGGGTAAGTATTATGTTATATTAAAATGTTAGAATATTTCTAGATTAGACTTGTAGATTCTATCATTTATTATTCAAAGTTTTTAGTTAAAGAATAAAGCTGATGTGTTAACTGTTATACTGTCTGTTGTGAAAAATAATCATAAAGTTTAGAGAGTTTTAGTTTACCAAAAGACTACACACACTGACTACTGTCTACAGTAAACGTTAAGTCAGATAGAATCATAGAACTATATTATTCTAGATCTAAATAAGTCTAGATGATAGATATATCTAGATTCGATGTTTAGATCTAAGAGTCTAAAGTCTAATCTATGGATATAGACCATAGAGTCAAGATTTAGGGAATCTATACCTAATCGTGTTACTTTTTTTGTAGGCTTATTCTTGTGTACAGTAAGTTTCATGAGTATGCAGCAGTATGAATATTAGACTAGATCTATCAGTATTAGTATGATAAAACTAGTCTATATTAAAAGTTTTGAATTTTGGAGATCATTCATTTACTCGTCAAGATTATTTATTTCAACTCAATTAGAAATTATTCTAGCTAGGCAATGTGATCAGTCCTTAGAAAGATTTATTGGGTAGGTGTAGGCTATATTTATTTGCGGTGCAGAGTTACGCTCCATCTACTTAGTGCAACTGCTGAACGAAAAAAAAAAAATAGATCTAGGTCATTACTTGACCTAGTTGTGACATTTCAGTATCACGTTTGTAGCACGCACTAGCGCAGCGCATCTAAATTTAGACTCGCTCCTGATTGGCTGCAGCTTTGTGACCTTTGCCGACGTCACTAGCTCCACCTCCAAAATATGTTGGCGTTCTAATATAAATAAACCTTTATTTTATAGTACAGTGGTTAAGCCGACTTAGACTTGGTCAAATCTACTTAGGTTCCGGAACTTTATTTTGTGATTAGATCCAAACAATTTCTCAGACCCTTTGTAAATTGGAAAACTTGTTAAAATATTTTAACTCTAGATTTAGATTTCCGATCTTAACATTTCTCTTACTCAACAGAAGGATTAGAAAATGACTAAAGCAGAGCTGAATCAAAACGAGCTCCAGGCTCTTAGGAGACTAGCTGGTGAGCCCATTATTCAATCACAAGACATCCAGAGCTCTTCCTTATTGTCTTCTCACATTGGCGAGGCAGTGTCCTCTATGCCACTTCCTGAAACACCAAGTGAAGGTGTAGTTGTCAAGGTGAGCATATTTTTTTTTTTAAAAGATTAATTATAAAGCTAGGCTTGACTTTAGTCTTGTGCATTTTTTAAAGTTTAAAAATTGCATTCAGATGCTGGTACATTTTGACATTATTTAAAGCCAAGAGGCTGTTATATCCTTTAATTAAATTTGACTCTCATTATATATTACAGGTTGCATATGCTGGTGCTTGCTATGTTGAAGGTAAAAACAGAAGCAAAAGATTCATTCCTCAATTTCCTGGCAATGAAGTCGCAGGCACAATACATGATATTGGATTAAACTTGCCTAACTGCAACTACACCATTGGAGACAAAGTCATCATCTTCCCTGATGCTGATAAGGTGAACAGTGGCTATGCAGAGTACATTCCCATTGAGGACACAACCAAAGTAATTCAGATTCCCAACAAGGTTCCCCTTGAAGTGGCAGCTATGCTACCTGGTGGAGCCCTTGCAGCTTATGCTGCTGTGAACAGTGCTAAGCCACATGTGGAAAAGCTGCGTAAAGTCAAATGTAAGTATTTTAGTATTTTATTAGTACTACTTGATTGAAATATTTAAGTTAAAAGTAAATTAACTTGAAATTTTTAAATTATTTTTTTTTGCGTGCGCAACATGGCCTAAATTGTGAGAAAGTACCAAAAATTAAAAACTCACTTTTTTTTTTTTTTATAAAGTGTTTTAAATTATTTTTTTTTTTTTCTTTACAGCATGTGTTAATGTTTTGGTCGTTGGTGCTGGCAGCCTGGGGCTGTGGACTGTCAAGCTTGCCAAATATTTAATTGGACGTGAGTGCAACAACGTTAGGGTCTTTGTTGCGGACAACAGCATTGATAAATTGCTGACTGCACAAGAGCATGGCTGCTATGACATCATTCATTGGAATGAAGAGGATCATGAACAGTACATCATTGAACGCACCTTGGATGCTTGCAGGGGTGGTGTTGATGTCATCATTGATTATATTGGATCCAACAGGAGCATGCAGAGGTCACTCAAAGTTTTAAACAGAGTGAGTATCTAAGCTATTGCATTAGTATTTTAAATATTTATTAGAAATGTAAAAAAAAACAGATTTTTTCTTTCATTTTATGATTTCAAACTAGTTGCTTATGTTTGTTCTTTTTATTCTGTTCTGTGCCAGGAGGGCTTGATCTTAGTCAGCGGTAACTCCACATGTGAAACAAGCATTTCCCTGAACACACTCGCAGCCAAACAGCAGAGTATTGTTGGCATCCCACAAGGCAATCTGAATCAACTCATTGAACTTCTTAATGCTATTGCAGAAGATCAGGTCAGTTACTTAGTTGTTAATCTTGTGTTATTGCAATAGTTAAGTGTACACATTATTTCGCGCCCCCCCCCCCCCCCCCCCCCCCCCCCCAAAGTGTTTTACTGTGTACCACATTTTTAACGAAAGAAGAAAAATGTGTTTTAACTGTGTACTCAGCATTTGCATTTAAACCAAGTAAACTTATGGACGTTTTCTCTTTTGTTCTTTACAGTTGGAAGTCCCAGAGTACAAAGTTTTCCCTGTTGAAGATGCCAACCAAGTTTTTGAAGACCTTTGTGAAAATCGTCTGACTGGGAGGGCTATTTTCAAATTTGGCTCACAGTCCAGCACACATGTGGTGGACAATCATTGAATTGTTCCACTTTGAAACTGTTTTTGTCTTAAACATTGTTTAGAGAACATCATCCACAGAAAGACATAATCATCTAGAACAAACAAGATATCACACTTTGCTTTTTGCTATTTACAATGAAAGCCATCTGTTGAGCCCAACCCCAGATATAGTCTTTAAAGGGCTCTAATTCAAGGATTACATTGGAGCTGCACTTTTTTACTCATGAGTATGCATGATCTGATTAAGAGAGGGAGAAAATATCTAACGCAACAACCCACCTCTCAACTCCATTGTCCTACATGTGCATATATTTCTGTTTCATGAACCTGTTGCTGTGGATGTACATATCCAACAATAAGCTTAACACATTCAACTTTCATGTACTATAGGCTATGTAAGAGAGACCTTGTTGCAGGAACGTTTAAGGCCAGACGAGTCATACATGCTAAATGACTGTTAAATGGCTAATAAAAGCTGCAGGGATTTAATTAAAGGTTTAAAGATCATTTTTTATAATGAGCTTTTATCAAAAGAATTTTTTTAAACTAGACCATGCTAGAAATATATTTTTTTTTTATTAAGTTAATTAAAAAAACTAATGTTTAAGCAGTCCTCATTATGTATTTGATGTAAATTTAATTTAAAAAACAATTGTACCAGAAAATAGTTAATGCTTAGATTTCACTTTCTAGACGTGAAGAATGTGATATTATTTTTTTTTAGTCAATAAATGAAATGTATTGTTTTGCCCTGTTGCATCTGATATGCAAGTGGAATTTTAAAAATGGCATTTTTGAACTTATGTATTTGTAATTTTTTCCATTTTTTTAAAACCAAGACAAAAGTGTTCAAGTGTAGTGAGGTGTGTGTGTGTGTTTGTTATGATTCATTGTTTTAGTTGGACATGTTACATTGACTAATGTAGTTGATTTATTCTAGGTGCTATGTTGAGTTTTGATATCACACTGGATTTATTTGTGAATGAATTATTGATTTTCATATATGAAAAGAAAGAAAAAAAATAATCTTCAATAAAAAAAAACATTTATTTTGGCTTTGTCTTGATAGCTGTAGTTTCTGTTTTTGATATGGTCACCTGTTTTAGTGAACAAAAACATTTTAATTAAGACTACATATTTAGCATGGGTTGAGTCTAATAATTTACGAAAAAATAAAAAAAATATATATTAAATATATTTTTGAAATATTAAATATTATTAAATTTATTATGTTACTGGTATGAACTTTAAAAACAACAAGAAAACCTTTGGACAACTTTTTTTATATTGATGTTTTTGGATACCAGTACTCAAGTACGCCTTCTGTTGAATGCTGAGACATGTGACTACTCAAGTGAATACAATCTTAACAATATACTTACTTGTACACTATTCCACAATGTCAACCCTGGGAAGGTACTGGGCTTTGTCCAGGAGGTGGGGTAGTCTACAAGGATCTGATTTTTGAATTGTGAACACATAATATATACATAAGATTTTACCAAATTATTACATTTTTACTACATTTACTATTTTAACTGAATAGACCTTGTTTTTAATGATTTAGCTATAGAACTTAGCCCTTATGTAAAGGGAGAGTGATCCCTAAAAGATTATGGGCACGGCATGGCCTAAATTGTGCCGATGTGACTAAACTCAAACCCTATTCTTATTGTGCATGTATTTCCAAGCACTTAATGGGAAGACTTCAAGGTTGATGAGTCAAATCCAAGTAGTGGTATGACATTTGAGGACTTCACAAATTATAACAATCATAGAGCGCAATGCTTTTAAAATGGTACTTAAGCTACAAATGTAGAGACAAGGATTTACTTTTTTTTTAGATAATTAAAACAAAGTAAATTCACCCCCCCCCCCTTTTTTATTTTTTTATTTAAAGAGGTCTTTATTAAAACAAAAGTTGCTGGGTCAACCCTCACACCCCCCCTAAAAAAAAGCTTTTTTTTTTTTTAAACACATCGTTAAAAACACACACACTTAAGATATACATGTAGATCTACTGGGTATCTAGATGTGGACTACTAAAATCATCAGAAATACACATAGAGCTGATGAACTCTGATGTCAGGTCATGTCACAGACACACACACTAAGAAAAGTTTAAATATTCGACATTTAAATATTACTGAATTTAATAAATAATGCTAGATGTACTAAACTTCACTTAAATAAGCTTACAGTTGCCTGTCAGAACTGAGAGTCAAAGGAAGTTGCCAGGGAAACATAAATATCAAAGAAGTAGGCCAAAACATATTTTAATTACAACGTAACATTCCGTTGACCGACTTACTCGCTCTGGTTTAACAACACAGACTTGGTGGCATGTTGTAACAGTGTAGCAGTCCCGCGTTACCAGGACGTGACTCGTCTCACAGGCCGACCTTGTACGCTTGGCTCTGTTTCAAGTCTGCTAGCAGAAAATCCCATTTGGCGCATGTGGATCAAAAAAGTCGGTTAGCTTTTAGTTGTTTGTTTTTGTGTGTGTGTGTGTGTTTTTACGGCAAATAAAAAAAAGGAAGTTTTTTTTCATTTGATTTTAGTGAATTAGATTTAAGTCTGTCTTGATTAGGAGACGAATGGTAGTTAAACATGATGCAGTCTCTTCATGCCTACCCATTTATGATATATTTTTAAGTTACCACTGACTGACACATTCATTGATCATGAAATCTATTAAACTGTCGTACGTATCCGCATCAAATTTCGTACACAGGATCCTTTTATCTACTATGGGTGCTTTCAAATAACGGTTTTTGACAGATTCGCAACCTGACGACAGCCATTCGCGAAAAAACCGCAAGCTCTATCGAAACTGTATTTTATTTTCGGTATTTCCATAAAATGTCTCAGTCTATATAGAAAGCAGAAGACTCAAAAGTAAGTATCAATTATACATAAAACACTGAACCATAATCTTCAAATACAAAAACAAAATTTAATAAAATACTCAGAAAGACACAAAGATAAAAGCACACTCCTCATCCCATATGCTAGGACAAATTTGTACAAATATTAGGGTATGGGATGGGTTGCCTGAGCTAGCCAGGAAAACCAGTGACTTGGCAGAATTTAAGTCATTGGTTAATATGCATGACTGAATGCAAGACACATAGGACGTAATCATCTTCTTTTTTGAAGTAACGTCTGTATTATACAAGATAAGATAAAGCATTTTTTTTTTAAATCACAAATTCCTTATTTTTAATATGCCTTGCGCTATTTTTACTTCCTTTCAGAAGCAGTCTAAAGAAAACAAAAATCCTAATAGCATTCATGAGATTTTGCAAGAGAGCAAGTAATGTTTCTTTGTAACCCTGTCAAAAAAACACACAAAAAAAAAAAAAGAAAACACAACAAAACTAATCCTATTAGCATTGAAAAGATAAATCTATATCTTTTGTCATTTAGCTACATTTAACTCTTTCTCTCCGTAATTATTTACCACATTCTGGTGGAATCAACGTTGGTATCGTCAGTTAGGAGAGAAAGAGTTAAATGCGGTCATAAACGATAATAATCAATAAAACCAAATATTCTTTAGTTAGAGAACAA